ACTGATAAGTTTTCATTCTATTGATTTGTATGGCATTGGAATCTTGTTTTGATCAGTAAAGAGAATTTATTGATTTACTTCCCCAGGGTCCAAGAGGTCACCCTGGAAATCCAGGACCAAGAGGTGATTCTGGTCCTCCTGGAAGCAATGGGTATCCTGGTAAGAGTTTTAACTCTGTATCATTCAAAAAGTGTCAACGGTCCTAACTGACTTTTTTTTTTAGGTGATAAGGGAGACCACGGAAACATACCGGGCCCACCTGGTTCACCTGGGTCAAAGGGTTTTCCGGGGCGGCCTGGTGAGTACACTATTTGGAATACAAAATTCAGACACCGCATCACCATTTTTTCTTTGTTTTTGTTTTTTTTCTTCAGGCATCAAAGGTAAACCAGGCTATGGAAGAGTAATATATGAACCAGGACCCCCAGGCTTACCTGGTTCTCCTGGCAACCCTGGACCCTCTGGGAACACTGGACCAGCAGGACCAGCAGGGCAATCAGGTCCAAAGTTTCTTCTTCTTTGTAAACTACAGTATGCATGCATACTACTGTGTAGCATGCACACTTGGTAAAATATTGTGACCTTATATATTATGTTTAAAAGGTCCCCCGGGTATCAAAGGAGTCCGAGGTTCCAGCCCACTAGGACCACCTGGATTTACTGGTCACAAGGGAGACAAAGGAGCATCAGGTTTGCCAGGTGTGTTCAGCAGTGCAGTTGTGTTTATACATACTGTATCTATCTGACCATAAGGGGCACTTACAATCGTTTAATGTTCTCAAAAATTAAAGTGTGCCTTGTAATCCGGCACACTTCATGTATGGATGTCGACTTTTTGGTTTGCTGTCTTTAATTCAAATTTTTCCTGTTTACTTTCACCTATTTAATTACTAGCAGGTGTCCGTGTTTTCATGATATTGGAACTAGAACTACTTCCTGCTTCCATGTCTAAGAATTATGGCAAATGTAGCCTTACTAGCCTAATGCTGCGGTTAGATAGAACACAAAATTTGACCCGAGCACAATAGCGTGAAACCTTTCAAATAAACGGGACAATTAAAATTATCTATTTAACCGGTGGTCTGTAAAATACGGTAATTTGGTCATGATTGCAGTTGGTGCATTCTTCAAAGACACCACTCAGGGGTTCACTTTTCTGACTTGCGGACATGTAGCGTGGGTTCAATGATGGAGTGAGTGTGAGTGTGAATGGTAGACTGTTGCTGCACACTGTGTACGGTAATATGATCATGATTGCACTTGGGACAATTCTATTGTCCCAAGTCCACTCCGGGGTGTCTTCATCCTTTCACCCAGTTCCAGCCGCTCTAGGCTACAGTTGTCTGTAACCCTGACAGGATAAGCATAATACTTATTGGTGGAGAGTTCAGGAAGTAGTTTTTACCTTTCCCTTTTCCAGGTCTACCAGGCAGCCCTGGAGATCCAGGCAACAAGGGCCAAAGGGGGTTACCAGGTGAAAGTGGATCTGGTTATGTGACCAGTTTCCTCATAGCACGACACAGTCAGAGTACTCAGGTGCCCAAATGCCCTGAAGGCACCACCCTTATTTACTTCGGCTATTCTTTCCTCTTCATTAATGGAAATGAGCGAGCTCATGGTCAAGACCTTGGTAAGAGAACACTTTAAGCCCCAGAAGCTTACCTCGATATTCCAATAGATCTTTTTGTTTGAACATTTCCAACTGAATCTCAGGCACCTCAGGAAGCTGTCTACCTCGATTCTCCCCCATGCCCTTCCTCTTCTGCGATACGGAGACAAATTGCCGCTATGCTTCTCGTAACGACTACTCCTACTGGCTGTCCACTGATGCACCAATGCTTCCCTCCATGGTTGCCATGACAGGGGAGCGACTGTCCTCCCACATCAGCAGGTGGGACTGGAGCTTTTGGTTTGTGAACATATTCAAGCATTGGTAAAACCGGTCGTTGATAATTACTTTAAAGTATCAATTCTGCCTTTGCAGAACCCTGAACAGGATAACCGGATTAGAAAGTGGATGGATATTCCATACTTGCTGTCATTATTTCCCTGACCTGAAAAAAAAACAATTTGCAAAGCTGTCACTATTTTCATCTTAGGTGCTCGGTGTGTGAAACTACCTCGAACGTCATAGCGGTCCACAGTCAGACAACTGTGATACCAGAATGTCCCAGAGGCTGGGATTCTCTCTGGAATGGCTATTCATTTGTTATGGTAATAAATTAATTCCTAGGGAGTGTTGTCGTATTTGTATTCTCAGTGATCAATGCAATTGTCTCCTTTCGACCCTTCACCAACCAGCAAACAGGTGCTGGTGCTGAAGGCTCTTCCCAGCCACTGGTGTCTCCTGGCTCATGCCTTGAACATTTTCGGCAAGTGCCATTCATAGAGTGTCATGGCAGAGGGACGTGCAACTACTACCCGGATTCATACAGCTACTGGCTGGCATCCCTCAACCCTGACATGTTCAGGTACATTTGAATGCGGATTAAATTCACATCCGCTTTTACATCCGGTCCCTCATGTATGTCTCTGCTTCTTTTTCTACAGTAAACCCAATCCCCAGACGGTGAAAGGGCCTTCTCGAGAAAGCATAATTGGTCGCTGTCGGGTTTGCCGCAAACAGTAGTAACTTGAGAAATGTGACGTATGTAGAGAGACACTTCACCATGTCCTCATGATAATTTTTGGCATCTTTTAGGTCCGAGCAAGCATCGTGAATGGCTACAATAAAGGACAAAATGATTACCAGTCTTTATAAAATACAATAAAATCTTTATTTTCTCCAGTGACACGACCTTGACCAGATGTGTTTAAAGTTTATTTGCATTCACGAGAACAAAGACAACACATACATGGGGTTAAAAAAAAAAAAAAAAAAAATTAACTGATTTGCAGGGCCACAAGTTTTTCGACTCACGATTTTTGCTTCCTATTCTGGGTCTTTCTGTTCTGTTCTGTTCTGGGATCCTAAACATTATTTTGTTTGTTTTTAACCAGACAGTTCCATCAAAAAAAAATTGTTAAGTATATAATATACAATTACACCTCAAACTATTAATGAAACAAAGCATTTATAATGACACCAGTACCACTCTCCATCAATGAATGGCACAGTCACAGTAAATAACACGTGACAGCACCGAAGCTGGCCCAAGAATTGTGATGTCATGGAATTCATGACTCATTCATTGCACCCACTATAAAAGCGAATGACATGTTCTTTCTTGGGAATTTCTGTGTTGTTCACATCCGAACTTTGAGTCATCCGCATCGTCACTTTAAAAGCTGTTCTTGCAATCACGTCTGCATGTTAAATTGTGCGTGTTTCACTGGAAGCCGATTTTTCCATGAGGGCAGCATGGAGGGTATACGTCGCATCCACAAATACTGTAAAATGATTCTTCTTTTTCCTTTCAAGTAACAGAAAAAAAAAGAAGTGATACCTGGACACACATTGAGTATTGTTGTTCATCACTGGGTGTTTCTGCTCTATTTACCCAGAAATCTATCCACAGAGCAAATAGCACCCCTAAGGAGCAGTTTTTCAAACCGGCTCACCCATAACTGTCACCGGGATCAATCGATAAAATATCTCTCCATATTTTACACTGAAACCAACAACATGCCCAGAATATAGTTGCCTTTTGGCACACACATAACCCGTGCAATCGATTGGTGGCAGTCAAAAATAACAAAATGTCAGACGTTATGTAAGTGTGCACATAACACAGAACAGCTGAAAGAGAACTCTTGAGTGGATTACAAATGTGTGAAAAGCCTGTTATTACTTTTTGGGAGCAATGCTTTTTTTCAACACTACATTTAAAGTCTGAAATTTCAGATTAAAAATGCGGGTGGGGAGGGAATATGCCTCAGTTGCCCACCAACTTCAACAGGAGAATCCGTAAAGAAAATGGATGGATTGCTTGAGCTCATGGGATGACCCGATTTCCCGGCTGTCTTCACCGCAACATAATTCTGCACCTTGACATGAGGAAGAAGTGGCGTACCAAGCGGATGCTCTGCCACCTTGAATTAAAGCCCAAGCCAACACGGGCGAGTGCGCGCGGTGATCAGCTCCAAAGTGTCTGGCCTTCATAACAGGATTATTCTACTCACCACATTGCGCTTACTAATTGTTTCGGTAGGTTGCTACATCGTTCTAATCGTGTTAGCATCGACGTTTCCTGAGATTCGGATACCTCTCAAGGACAGTGTGTTCCACCTGCAGTACATGCATTCTCTATTTTGAAACATTAAAAGCAACCCCGTGGTAGAGTGGTTAGCGCGTCGACCTCACAGTGCAGAGGTACCGGGTACGATTCCAGCTCCGGTCTTCCTGTGTGGAGTTTACATGTCCTCCCCATGCCTGCGTGTGTTTTCCCCGGGTACTCTGGTTTCCTCCCACATTCCACAAAAACTCCAAATTGTCCCTAGGTGTGAGTGTGAGTATGGATGGTTGTTCGTCTCTATGTTCCCTGCGATTGGCTGGCAACCGGTTCAGGGTGTCCCCCACCTACTGTCCGAAGACAGCTGGGATTGGCTCCAAAATTCAGAACAGTACAAAACGAAAGACTCATCAGGTGATGCAGTTGCATGAGTGCGTTACCATAAACATTGTCAAACAGTGACAAGTATGTCTTCGTTTTGACCCTGTTAAGTTAAGCAGAGCAGAAATCTCATTAGAGGTCGTCACTAAAAACGTACAGCGTGGAACAAATGATCACATGACCTTTATGGTCTCTGGGCATCACGTACTGTTGTGGGTGCGTGCGTATCCTAATTTATGACACCTGAGAGTCTCATGCCATCATTGTTTGTCCACATTGGCGCAGTTTTTTTTTTTTTTTAATTGTATCACACATGGGTTGCTTTTACAGCACATGTTTTGAGTAGCGGTAAATGAGGATATCCTTATATGGATGTTGACCTCCCAACATCGTCACACTATGCAAATAACGCTCTTTTGGGCCCCCTTAAAGTCAGATGAGGTGCACATCTTCACCAGAACCGACAGGTCAAGGTAAAATGGTGCACTCCTTTTGCATTGTGGCACTTTTTTGTTTGTTATTGCCTGCAATGGGGAAGCCAGGAAGCGAACTGAGAGACCCGCAACTTGGCGACGACCTACCATGGTTCATACAGATACAAGACAACCAGGTAAGATGGCTTCAAAATATAAACACGCATTCACACTCATGGAAAATATTGTCCTCAATGAACCTAGCGTGCATGTTTTTTGGAGGCGCCTTCCTGCTAATAGTTTAGCAGGCCCATATAAGGACATCCCAACTGCATATTGTCATCTTACGTATTAAAAAAAAGTGATGCGTTATCTTGATCTCCCAACCCCGAGATCTGACGCGCTGTCAGTGTCAGCTCAGTCGTTCATCTGTGAAATTGGAGCTTAGATATGACAGAGCTTGCATTATCGTCCGCCGTCTGTGTTGTGCAAGTTTTGAAACCGCGCAGTTGAAAACATTTTTAAAAGAACAAAAACATGGGCGGCACGGTGGTCGATTGGTTAGAGCGTCAGCAGAGGTGCAGGGTTCGATTCCGGCTCCGATCTTCCTATGTGGAATTTGCATGTTCTCCCAGTAGTTCTCCCTCAGTAGTTCCTTAAAGTGTGCTTGGCTACTACTTGGTAGTACCACAAGTCATAAGTGGGCTCCCTCTTGTGGTGAGTCAAAGAATCACCGAATTAAAACGGTGGATATTTTAAGGGTATTTTTTTTTTTAATCCAAGACAGTCTTTTATATTTATTAAATTCATTGAAGTTGTATTTAACATTCGAGTAAAATACAGTTTTTGTTTTTTGTTGATGTAGTCTGCCAAATGTTGCTTGTATTGAAAAGAACCTGATGGACATTTTAGATTTCCAAATAAGGAAAAGCAGCTTTCATTTTCCTGGCCATTTTGCAGGAGCTGACCGACAAACAGAAGGCGATGCAGCTGCTGTATAAACTCTACAAACAGGACAACGATATAGTCCCGGAAGAACCTGGCAGGACGAGGGAGGTGGAGGAAAATGAGAAGGAAGGAGGACTGGAGAGGAGAGCGAGTCCTCAAGTTCGCAGAGCGGGATGCAGAATCTTCTTCTGGAAATCCTGGACCGCCTGCTAATCACATGGCTACATTGTTGTCCGATATTGATATTTATTTTGCTCGAGTCACATTCATCTGCCGCTTGTAGGAAAGTCTTGTTTACATGATCTGATGCTCTTAGCGTCAATGCAAATGCAATCCAAGAGCTGGCATGGCTCGTCTACTAATATGATTTATTAATTGTGTGTGTGTGTGTGTGGGTGTGTGTGTGTGTGTGTGTGTGTGTGTGTGTGTGTGTGTGTGTGTGTGTGTTTTTATTGTTCATTCAAGAGATACATCTGTTCTGCCTGCCAAATAGTATGAATACGCATTTGCTTGGTTCAAAATCATTTCCATAAAGCATTTTTCTTCATTTGGCTTTGAGTCACTTAATTGGTTTCCAAAATTTGACCGCAAGCATGCTACGTTCGCTAATAAAACAATTTTTCATCGTGCCACAGTTTAAAAATACGTTTTCTGCTCCTTAGAGTCAAAACAATAAAGATTTTAACGAGCCATATTTTACGTTGATGGTACTCAACGGATTATTTCTTTGAAGCAGAAATTTCATCCGAAAGCCTTAACATCTGACCAGTGATGCTTTGAAATATTTAACCCTACACAGGTGGGAAAGGACAAGTGGGTAAAAATACAATGCAGGTCAATACAATAAAACTGTTTTTGAAACAGGAAGCGCCAGCATCCCTTTTTACACACTGCGACACACATGCAGAACTGCTCTGGTTAACAACAAGCGCACGTGCGGGGGTGGGGATGGCTGAGTGAGTCCCTTCTTAACCGATGAGTGCCTTTGCCAGTATTCCTCCCGAGTGGGCATACAGGAGTGTCGCGGGGGTTTGCACTGGAGTGAAGGGAGAAGGCAAATAAGTGGAGCCAAGCACAGGGGGAAACAAAAAAAAAAACATAAACACTTTTTTCGTGTTTGTATGGCCCGGTAGTTGAGTGGTTAGCGCGGATTATGTTTGTATCCAAATCGGCTCTGCACTGCCTGCCCACCTATCGGTTGTGCAATCATACAACCAAGTGCATCTTAAGTCAACTATTTCTGAAAAGGCTGCCTGTAAGCAAGCTGTTCCTCACTTCTGCCCCATCAGTGGTGCAAATTAACATCATGACCACCCCCACCCTCCCACTGAATTACTCTACCGATGATTGGTGTAGTTTCAGAGTGAAAGAACTGCGGTGCGCAAGCATGTCGCAACTAAAAGGTAAGCAGAGCTGCAGTGTAGGCAAAGATTAGTGTTGCAATCGTTATCTCCTGATAAGAATGTTTGGCAAAGTTGTCACTGTGAAGCAGACGTGTTAAGGCTACCATAGAAAGAAAAAAAAAAATTCAAAATACATGATGTAAAGAACAACTTTGGTGCATATAGACCCAGATGCTCTCTCTGGTGCAGCTGCCCTACATGTGGAAGTAAACAAATTAGAATAGATCCTCCCATATTCCACGCCAACTAAACGCGGCTCCAAAGAACGGCACATCAAAGAAACACCAGTTATCTTCAATTGAGCGCAGGCCAATTATTTTTAATGACGAGAATGAGGAGGAAACAGAGAAACGGGAGGAGGTCCCAAGGGTGCCGGCACGGAGGAAAGGAAAAGAAAGTGAGCACGAGAAGAGACGGCCTTATCGTGGCTCGTGACAAAACTCACGCACGCGGGGGGCTTTGAAAGCTTTCTGTGGTCATATCTTACACGCTACTTGTTGCCTGGCATCATGCGTCTATTTTAGTTATGGAATGGCAGGAAACTTCCAACACAAACTGCTGACAGTGAAAGTAAAACCATGTTTTGTTTTGGTTTTTTTTTATACAACAGGCAGTCAGTTGTTACTGTATCTACTGCAGGCGACCGCGGCAGACTCCCTCCGGCATCCTAAACATCTCAATTTGACACATCTCTCTACTGAAAGGGGTCTCTTTGGTTATATTATTTTGTTGTATTTGTCCGTCACACCTTAAAGGCCGGTCCCTGAAAATATTGCCAGACATTAAACCGGTTCGTGGGGCAAAAAAAGTTTGGGGACCGCTGTGTTAGCGTATGCCTTCAGATTCTTTGCTGCTTGGTTTTTTTGTTTCCCATCAGACCGGTCCCTCGTGTCGACCAATCGGCTTCCGTCTGTCACTCACGTCTTCTTGTCCAGGTGTACCTCGTTGTCTCTTGTTGCATTTAGTTTGTTTGCTTTTGTCGTGAGTTTGTTCTGTTACTTTGAACCTTGTTTTTCAGGGGAGGGGGGGACTTTGTTCATTAGATTCCTGTGAGTATTATTATTATTATCCTGCTTTGCCTCCCTGCTTACCTGCGTTTGGGCCACATTTTGCAACCATGACCAAAACTGCCTGACAGCAACTGTGCCACAAACTTTCTGTGAATTCTTGCCAGAGTCCTTCAAGCGCTGACTGTCCGTGAGGCAGTGAAAGTATCAAAGCATGATTTGCGGTTCTATGAGTAGTCTGGGACAGGATGACAGAAAGGCGGAAAAACGGCCGAATGTCTGCAGGATGGTTTTTTTTGGGGGGTGCCGTTGTTATGACTGTCACGAACAATTCGTTTTCACATTAAACAGGCTGTTGATTGACCGCTACCCGTCCTCATTTCATTGTCTATAAAGCTGCTAAAGTATATTTCTCTGTCTTTTCTCTGTTACAGGTGGGTGTTTGGTGAATTCCATTTTGGCCTTTTGTCAGCTAGCGTCAGGATACAGTTCTGGCCTTGGATGACATCAGCATTTATCCATCCTCTGGCTGGCGGATCAGAGCAAAACTTGTTATCGTGCAGCCAATTTAAACGAACAAAGCCTACAGGTTTGTAGCGATCTGCACCCATTATTGCGTTTAATAATCGGCGTCTCTGGTTAGTGTGATGCATTTTATTTACTTTTTTGTTTGCTTTTTTTTTTTTTTTTAGAAAAAATATTGATTGTGAACTGCTCCGGATACGCAGCTTTTGTATTATATAATGGTGATGGTTTGTAGTAGTACCAAATACGCTGTCTCATGCTGTCATGGAGAATGTGACACAAAAATGGACTGTCGCCTTCTCCTTTTTGTCCCTTCTGCGTGCTGCAGCTGTTGTGCAGAAGAGAAGACAATGGCACGTCCTGAAAGTCGGGGCAGCTTTCGCCCTCCTCCTCCTCCTCCTCCTCCTCCTCATTCTCTTGGCAGCCGGTATGGAAGGTCTGTTTCCATGACAACGGGAGAATTAAGGCCAACGGAGGGCCGTTCCAAAATGACACGACGTATTTAGGAGGATAGCGAGGCTGTAAATCACTCCGGGTGAATTGATAGCAGAGGAAAAGGGGATTGGATTTTGGGGGGGGGGGGATGTGAAAAGTCAGAGGCTGACGGATGTAGTCCGACTGTAAGAGACCCACAACAACTGCCAGTCATCATTTGCGGCAAATAAATCACAGGGTGGCTTTGGTAACATAATCTTTATTCTGAAACAATTGCTAACTTCATTCAGATTGTGTTTTTTTGTTTTGTTTTTTTTTGTCATCATCAATGCATATTTAAGCCACACAATTCATAGTGCATATATGGGTGTGTTCCAATGCAGTGAAATCTGCAAAATCGTGCCGCGCCACTTGACTTCCTGTGTTGTCTTATATAAAGCAGCGGAAGTGGAATTAACAGTATAAACCTTTCCCGCATGTCCTCAAAGATACACAACGGGCGCTCACAGACTGTGTCTGCAATTGGCTGTAAGCGTGTTCTCACGTGAATTTAGTCAGGAATTGTACAAAAAAAAAAAAATACTACATTATGATCAAAGTGGACAATATGCTAGCAACTCTCATCGAATCTGGTCAAACGCCCGCAACAGTATACTTGCCACAAATATGGCTAACATGCTGGGCTAAAAAAAAAAAAGCATGATCATTTCAAGCAGTCCGTTCAAATAGGTTTCATATTATCATTGAAAAAAAATGCAAATAAAAAAAAAAATACCCAAGAATTGCACCTGTATTCTATGACTGTCATTCCCAGCATTCCCTCTTGCAAATGGGAATCTGGGCCACAATGAAAACAAGCATAATATTTACGAGAAAAAAGTAATGAGATCCCGAGATTAAAGTCAAGGTGTTAAGAGAAAAGTTAAAAAAAAAGTCACCAGGAAAAATAAATCTTGGTGTACGTGTGCAATTTAAAAAAACAAGGGGGAAAAAAAAAAGAGGAAAAACAACCCAGAAACAGGTACTGAGGAGGTGTCAATCATTTCTCATGCTGACTTCGGGAGCTTTGCTGAAAGAATGGTGGAAGATTTACTTCTGAAAAACGAAAGAAAAAAAAAAGGACCATCCATTGTTTGTCAATAATCAAAAGACAAGCAAACAAGCAGCACGAAGGAGCCTCAGGCAGCAAAAAGCATTCAGAAGTGACGCCGAATTAGCAACATTTCTGCTTGACATGTATGTTTATCACCTCGTTTGGATTTTTCATTGATTGTACATTCCAAAAATCAACATTTCAAACAGTTCACATTTCGTGTGATGCGAGCTCTGCATTACAAAGTCTTGCTGCAACTGTAGCAGCCGTACCTCAACCCCAGTTTGCAGTGGTGCCCTAAAAGTCCTTTTTCTACTTGAACTATTCTCCAATTAAATTCTTGTGAGAACAGGCTCTTCCCTACTCCTCACCACACAATCAAATTGTTGCATTATTTCCATTTTCACAATTCATAAAACCAAGTCATAATTCCCAACTTCAATGCCGTGTCCATGCTTGGCCTCACACCATCCAATTTCACAATATTTTCTAATTTATGTCCTACAAATGATGTCTTTTTGTTCGTGTGTCCATGCCGGCGCCATATAGTCACTCGTTGAACAAATAAATGCACTTCCATTCGATGGCAAAAGGTATAAGGAACCTGTGTGCCACACTTTGGCACACCAGAATGTTCAACTAAAGAGAACCACATTTCACACTGAGCAACAACATGTGTGACGAAATTGAGACAAGCTTATTATTTCAGTGAACAGTGTTCCCCCGGCTATTTCACAGACTTTCCGATAAACGCTTTGGATATTTTTTTCTTTAATTTTTTTTTT